GAGAAGACAAGGAGGATATGAAAAAGGAGGAAGGAAGGGAGGAGGAGAGGAGGGAGATGGAAGGGAGGAGGAGGAGGTAGTGGAAGTGGAAGACGAAGAACAAGAACAGGAAAAACAAAAGCCAGAAAGAGAAGAAGAAAGAGAAATGCAAATACATATATATATGTGTGTGTGTGTGTGTGTGTGTGTGTGTGTGTGTGTGTGTGTGTGTGTGTGTGTGTGTGTGTGTGTGTGTGTATACATACACACACGCCTCTAAAGTTCAGCCCAAAACACAGGAGGTCAACTTCCATCCCGGGAGGACGGACGCGTGTGCTTAAAACAGACGGTTGATCCGATAACGATAATGCTGATGATTTTCTTTTTTTCGTGCCATCGCCGATGCGGTGTTTGATGAACTACTTGGCGCCAAGTTGCTATCGTGGAGTAGACTGGGTCTTCAAACTTGGGTGGCTGATAATAATGTAATAATGATGATGATGTGAAATAGCTGATAATATCTATAATGAAGAGGATAATGATAGTAATGATGAAGAGTATGGTAATGATAATAATAGTAATATTAATGATGGTAACAATGTAATAATGTTAATGATAATGATAATATAATAATAATGATAATAATAATGATAATAATAATAATAATAATAATAACTATAACAGTAATAATGATAATAACAATAGTAATGGTAATGATAATAACAATAATAATAATAGAAATAATAATAATAATCATCATCATCATCATCATAGTAACAATAATGATAATAAAAATATTAACAGTAATAATAATAACAGTAATGCTAATAGTAATAACAATAGAAATAATAATAACAATAATAATAATAGTGACATTAGTACTACTGCTAATAATAATAACAACGGTAATAATGATAATAGTAATAATGATGATGATGATAATAATAATAATAATAATAATAATAATAATAATACCTTAATACCTTCTACCGGTTTACGGCTGTGAAGTGTTGGCTGTGTAGGCAGATCACCATTTATATTTAAATTAACTATGAGAAAACTACAGTGGACAAGGAAATGTCCTAATTAAGGTTGACAATAAGTAAAAAAAAAAAGGAATTTCTTTCTTAGCATTACTGATCCGGAGTTATCTTCAACAACTGTAAAATCGCAGAATTGTTGTAGCGTCTTACAAGGACAACTTATTACAGTCCACATTGTTGTGGAACACCCCCAGTCTTAAACTTCAACCAAATCATAAATAAATATCGAGTGTTAAGGATATTTTCGCGAGGAGTCATAGACAAAAGTCAAAGATCTTTTTTCTGACAAAGACAAATTACGGAGTCTAACCTTTAATGAATACCGCCCAAGATCATTTGAAGATCTATTAACAGCATATGGGAGAACAATCACGTTGATTTCCAACTCAAATCTGAGGCTCTTCACTAGACTGACCTCCCAGAAAGGACAGCCAGCTACCGCAGTAGGCGTCTTCATACCCTCATGTCATTTTAAGCACAAAGGGCTTGAAATCTACTTGTCAGAAAATAGAATACAGGCAATTGGCAAGGCCTTTGCTGTGCCCTAGAACATATTTTGTTGGATAATATTCATATAAAAGATGAAATACATAGACTACTCACTCCCTGGAACACTTTTGACATTGCAAGAATACCCCATACCTTAGAACCCATACAGAAAACCGTCGACCCAAAACATGAACCACAAAACTACCTGCAAAAGCAGAAATAGCCTTGTCCAAGTAAAGCTTACTAAATTATCAGTCTGTAGTTAAGGTTGTTAGCGGCCATCTAAACAGCAATGACTTCTCATCTCAGGATTGTTTTCCGCCGCTGTATAAGCTAGATGCAACATCTAGTAGAGACATTGCTGAATTACTTGCCTTTTTCTACTCTCAGAAGATGCAAGGATGTGGAGGGGGGGGGAGATGTAAGAGCGAGAGGAGGGGGTGTAGGAAAGAGAAAAAGAGAGAGATGTACACATACATACACACACTCAAACACACACACACACACACACACACACACACACACACACACACACACACATATATATATATATATATACATATATACATATATAATGTATATATGTATATATATATACATATATATATATATATATATATATATATATATATATATATATATATATATATATAAGCGTGTATGTGTATGTGTGTGTGTGTGTGCTGTATGTATGTATGTATGTATTTATATATATATATATATATATATATATATATATATATATATATATATATATATATATATAGAGAGAGAGAGAGAGAGAGAGAGAGAGAGAGAGAGAGAGAGAGGGGGGGGGGGAGAGAGAAAAAGAGAGAGACGAGAAGAGAGAGGGAGCCAGGAGAAGAATACAAGAGGTGGCGACAGTGGAGGAAATGATCTATTTATAGTTCACTTTTCAGAATGGAAGAAATAAAATTTAATGGTCCCTTTCATCTGCATCCCTGTCCCTTCTCCTTCTCTCTTTCTCTCCCCATTTCTCTGTCTGTCTGTCTTTCGCTATTCCTCTCTCTCTCTCTCTCTCTCTCTCTCTCTCTCTCTCTCTATATATATATATATATATATATATATATATATATATATATATATATATATATATATATATCTGTCTCTCTCTCTCTCTCTCTCTCTTTCTCTCTATCTATCTATCTATCTATCTATCTGTCTCTCTCTCTCTCTCTCTCTCTCTCTCTCTCTCTCTCTCTCTCTCTCTCTCTCTCTCTTTCTTTCTCTCTCTCTCTCTCTCTCTCTGTCTCTCTCTCTCTCTCGCTCTCTCTCTCTCTCTCTCTCTCTCTCTCTCTCTCTCTCTCTCTCTCTCTTCTCTCTCTCTCTCTCTCTCTCTCTCTCTCTCTCTCTCTCTCTCTCTCCTCCCGCCCCCCCTGCTCCACGCACACCACCACTTCTAACCCCCCCCCCTTCTCTTCCCCCAGCGGCGGTCAGCCCTACAGCTACTGCGGCCTCAGCGCCTCCAGCGTGTGCTGCTTCGTCCCGTTTAACGCCAAGCCGATCGGGATCCTGCCCCTGGCGCAGCGCAAGAAGTCCTGCGGCCGCAAGGGCACCAGCAACCGCGACGACGGCCAGGCGGAGATGTCGGAGTGGCCGTGGCACGTGAGTATCCGGGAAAGGGGGGGTGGGGGGCTCCGGTGCTGTTCGAAGGGAAATAGATACGAGTCGGATATTCTTTCTGTACTCTCCTTTCTTTCCCGTAAGCTATGTAGTTCATAAATAAAATATGAGTTCAAGTTGTCATATTTTTATTCTTTATTTCTCCAAATTTACAAGACAAACAGCTACGAATACATGTTTTTGAATTATAATATAGACTGAGTATGAATAAGTTCTAGCGTTTGCTTTGTGTTCAAAAATGTCTATCATATGATGTTCGATTAGTAGTTTGCTTGTTTGTTTTGTTTATATATATATATATATGTGTGTGTGTGTGTGTAAATATGTATGTATATGTAAGTATATTATATACATATATATATATATATGTATATATATATATATATATATATATATATATATATATATATATATATATATATATATATATATATATATGCATATGTGTGTGTGTGTGTGTGTGTGTGTGTGTATGCGTGTGTGTGTGTGCGTGAGCGTGTGTGCGTGTGCGTGTGTGTGTGTGTGTGTGTGTGATTATCAGTCGGTTCCCTTAAAACATATAGTAGATCAGTAACAGTATATAATAGGTATAAAGCAAACGAACCTGCTAGGTTGTTGTATTGGGATTCTGTACAAATCTAATTCTTTATGTTATATTGTACCTTTACCCTTGCTCCTAGAAAAACATGAAAACCATAAAATAGACGCTATATGTTAGACCACAGATTCATATGTTATTTTTATTTCATAACCAAAATAATAATAATCATCAGAAAAGAAAAATGCAAATTGGGTGTGTTTTCGCATAGCAGTCTGAGTCCCTTTCCTCGCCCAACAGGCAGCCATCCTGGAGCAGCCGCAGGACCTGTACGTGTGCGGCGCGTCGCTGCTGGACGAGTCGTGGATCCTGACGGCCGCGCACTGCGTCGATGATTAGTAAGTGTGATAGGGGGGCGGTGTGGGTGGGGGGAGGGAAGGGGGAAGGGGGGGGGAGGGAAAGAGAGGAGGGAAGGAAGGAGGGGATGGAGAGAAGGAGGGAGATATAGAGAGAAAGAGAGAGAGAGACAGAGACGGAGAGAGAAAGAGAGAGAGAGAGAGAGAGAGAGAGAGAGAGAGAGAGAGACAAGGGGGGGGGGGGGGCAAGAGATGATGCCGCGTGTGTGCCAAAGGGACGCACTTCAGCTGTCTTTATTTTTATTCTGAGAAGCAATAAATCTTTGGTGTCGCTGCGGAGAATTTGCTTTCCGCCCCCACACCAGCCGCCTCTCTCTCTCTCTCTCTCTCTCTCTCTCTCTCTCTCCTCTCTCTCTCTCTCTCTCCTCTCTCTCTCTCTCTCTCTCTCTCTCTCTCTCACTGTCTCCTTCTCTCTCTCTCTCTCTCTCTCTCTCTCTCTCTCTCCTCTCTCTCTCTCTCTCTCTCTCCTCTCTCTCTCTCTCTCTCTCTCTCTCGCTCGCTCGCTCGCTCTCTCGCTCTCTCTCACTCTCTCACTGTCTCCTTCTCTCTCTCTCTCTCTCTCTCTCTCTCTCTCTCTCTCTCTCTCTCTCTCTCTCTCTCTCTTTCGCTCGCTCGCTCTCTCTCTCTCTCTCACTCTCTCACTGTCTCCTTCTCTCTCTCTCTCTCTCTCTCTCTCTCTCCTCTCTCTCTCTCTCTCTCTCTCTCTCTCCTCTCTCTCTCTCTCTCTCTCTCTCTCTCTCTCTTCCCTCCCACAATGCATATCTTTCCTCTGTTGCAGGGTTCAACCAGCCTTTTCCAGTTTGCAGCCCACGTGTCCAGCTCCAAAGTCTTGCCTAACCGAGTTTCGATCCTACAGTGCAAGCAAAATGCACAGCCCATTAAGATGTGTTTTATTTATATAATTTCTCATTATCACCATTTCTCCAGTGACCTGCAATGAAACCGCTGTTCTTATATGAGTTCTGCCTGCGAGGAAGTGAATTCCGTTTATTCATCTTTTCCTTATATCCTTTCCTTTTGTTCTCTTCCTTTTCTTTTTTCTTATTATTATTATTATTTCATCTTTACTTCAACATTCGTCTTTTTTCTCAATTTTCCTCGATTGTTTCCGTGCTTCCCCTCGTTCCTCTATGCCACCAGCGCTCTCTCCTTGCGAATTCTTTTCCTTATTAATGAAGAGGCTGCCCTCCCCCCCGACTCCTCCCGCCTTCCCCCTTCATCGCCCCTCCCCTGGCAACCCCCCCCCCCCACTCGCCCCCGCTCCTCGCGCCACCTAAAAATTAAATTCTCATTAGCGAATCCGTTTTTTCCATTTTGATGACTGAATTAACGTCCTCTCGCCTCACTGTTTCATTATTTCTCACTATTATTACAGTTGATTAATTAATTTGGGAGAGTTAATGAATGATCTCTATCTGACTCCCGCTGATAATTAGCCCTTGGGCGGACGGGCGCGGGCGTGTCTTCGGCGCCCCGAGGGAGCTGCCCTCGCTCTCGGGGCCGCTTTTTTATTTTCTATATTTATTGCCTTATCTTCAGCTGTAGCTTTATCGTTATCTTTATATTTATTTTATCTTATCTATTTCTATACCTTCCCCTTTTCTCTCCTATATTCATTTTCTTGATATCATCATTAATGCTGTCTCTTTTGGAGAATGTAACCCTGCTCTCACCAGTGCCATCATAATTTTCATCAATTAGCTTATTGTCTCCATCGCCGCCACCAGCAACGAGCGCTGTCCTTACGGCTTCCCTCTTCATCTCAACCCCTTGTCCTTCCACCGTCTCTCGCCAGCATCGCCACGGCCTCCCCCCCTTTTCCCCGTCACCAACTCACTGCCAATTCATCCTCAACTCACCACCAACTCAACACCGCCCCCCCCCCTCGCCCTCAGTCTCGAGAAGGCGTCGAACCTGCAGGAGTTGCTGAAGGTCCGCCTGGGCGAGTATGACGTCAGCACGACCGCCGAGCCGCTGCGCCACGAGGAGTTCGCCGTCGACAGGATCGTCATCCATCCCGAGGTTCGTTTCGCAGGGGGGTGGGGGGAACCGGCGGGGGTATGAGGTGATGAGAGATGTGAGAGGAGGGAGAAGGAGGGGGGTGAAGGAGAGGCTAGAAAATGGGGAAGGGACGGGAGGGGAGGTAAGAGATAATATAAGGGGAAAGCGAAGGAAATAGGGAGACATAACACAAAATGAAGAGAAGGGAAGAAGGGAAGAGGGATAAATGATACAAGAGAAGAGGTAGATATGCAACAGAAAACAGAAATAGAGAAAAATATCTATAGTAACTTCACAGAAAAATGACAGATGGCACGACGTGGAAAAATGAATATAAAAGATAATAAAAGAATTGGAGTAGATCAAACACAAGGCAACCCGCCAATAAACAAAGCTCACCTGATGTTAGTTCCGTGTCGGTTGAGAAGGAAGGTGAGAGGAGATGGGAGTGGAGGAAGAAAGGTGGGGAAAGTAACACAAAAGAAAAAGTTTTAAAAAAAGGGAGAGAGAGAGAGGAAGAATAGGACGATAACTAGATAGCACAAGAGAGATTGGAAACAATAAGGTAACAAGAAGCGGATTGGGAGAAATAAAGCATAAATAAATAAATAAAAGACATTATCGAAACCAAAGTAACACAACTGAAAATCCAAATTCTAGTTTCATATGTGCGTCAGTAAATACAACTAAAAATGAATAAAACATTATGAAAAAGGTGTAAGAAAAAAAGAAGGGACTCACAACACAACAGAATAATACATACACAAGACAATTAGGGATAACTGGGGGTTGTTTCGCGCGACAGTCACGCCATCTGTCTGTCGTGTGTTCGTGCGTTTGGGTGTGAGCGGAATATGCATTCGAACATGTTTTTTTTCCTAATTGTAGGCTTTCTGCACTCGCCGTTTGCTTAATACTGTCTCAATTATGTGATAGTTATAAGAGACAATATGAATAATCATAGGCAATGATGAAAATTATGATGATAATGATATAATTGATTTAGAGGAAAATTATAAATTAATAATAATAATAAACATTATAATAATGATAATAATAGTAATAATTATAATGATAGTATTTAAAAATAATAATGATACTATAATATTAATGATAATGATAATAATAATCATTATTATACCAGCTATAATGATAATGATAGTTATGATACTATTACTACTACTGCTATTACTAATGATAATAATAATAATAGTAATAAAAATAAGCATGATAATAATGATAATGACAATGATAATCATAATGATGATTATGATAACAGTAATAATGATTGTAATAATAACGATACTACTACTACTACTATTACGATATAATAATAATAATAATGATAATAATAATAATAATAATAATAATAATAATAATGAAAATAATA